CTGATTGTTGATAATTATTTTATCAATGCCACAGAACTTTGTATAAATCTAAGAGATCTTTTCTGTCCCCTGGTTGTGAAACTCTAGAAATTTCAAAATCTGTGTTTGAAAATTATGTATTTCACTTTCTCCCGAACTTCTTTACCCGTATATTTCATAATTACTAAGTGGGAGAGACGAATTTTTTTCTATGTAAATACTGACCTGTCCCTTATATATCCTTTTGATTTATTTTCGCTAACAGGAGCTGTAAAATTGATGATTTACATTTAGACATCATTAAATATTTATTTAAACGGGAGCATTCGTGAATGAAACATTGTAATTACTGTTTGGATTTATGGGTATTTTTTAAATTTAAATTATTATTAATGAACTAGCTTGCGGCAGTTATTTGAATATTTTTAAAAATAATTTTCTTATTCGGCGTCATAAATATTTAACAATTGATTAGCTAGCAACTAATTTAACCGTTAACCATCATAATGATTCTGAAAATTGTTAGTTCACATTGAAAATAATTTACTATTTATTTTGAAAGGAAAATTATATCAAATTTAATTCAGAGATTTTTAAATACATTTTTTTCTGTTGCCACTTGAGTTGATGATTTAAAAAAATAATGATACAATTGTTCTTTGTGTTTTACCATATTTTTCTCCTGAGTTGTTGAATAGTTTTTGACGGTACCTATGTATACATAGATGTCTAATCCTATAAATATATATAAATATAATATTAGTATTATTTTCATTAGTCACTTTAGTTTACATTTATTCACAGGATTGATAGGATCTCTGCCCATCATTTATTGTTAGATTGTCATGTAAAGCGATAAATAATTTCTGTATCTTTAATATATTGAAAGTTTAAAATAATTGTTTAGTTGAGTATTTCATATAAAATTTTAAATTAAAATGGAAATATAAATATTGATATAATTATTTAGATATAAATAATAAGGATATACTGTGTTTATATTTATTCACATGATTGTATATGCTAAGAGTCGTAATACAAGTTTTTTTTTGTTTTTTTTGTGGCCTTTGCAGACCTTGTAGATCTTTTGCAGGCCTTTCTCCACCTCTACATGTCTTCGATTATTTCTTTCTAGAAGCTGCATGTAGCTCTACAGCATGTTTGTTGATTCCGTTTTTCGGGTTTTTGGATTTCCTAGTGGTCTCTTGCCTATTATTGATGCATTCATTGTCTAAGATTGTCAAAGATAGCATTATGACGACATCAAAATAAAAGGTGTTGAACAAGTGGAAAGAACGATTCCAGCAGCCCCTCAACCATGAAGGAAGAAGAGAAGACATGGACGACGCTGAGGACCTCAAGAAACCGAAAAAAATAGGACATTGAGAGACTCAGCGATATTTATAATAATCGCTAAATTTCTTTGCAATTATTATTAATAGATTCTTATTAAATTTGGTTTGTGTTAATTTAACGAAAATAATATTATTGAAGTTTTTATAATCATTTAGAAAGGTGAAATCACCAAAAGACAACTTTTAAAATTGTTGTTGACAGAATTCTTCGTTTATTTGTATAGGAATTTTTTTGCTATGTTTGGTTTAAAAACTAAAAATAAAATGATTAATATTTTAACTGACAGATAAATAAATATATGTATATATTTAAAAAATATAAATCACTTACAAAGTAAATAACTATTTTTGAATTTTAAATGGGTTTTGCAAACTAAAGAAAATTATTATCGACAGGAGACAGCTTCGTTTAAAATTCCGTTTTTATTACCTCAAAGTAAACTAATTCTTATTCTGGCATAAATATTGTTTCTATTTCGAACGGTATATTGGCTGTAAATTATGAAGAGAAAATATGGAGCTTGAATAGCTTCTTCATTCTATGCATTTTAACCTTGGCAACTGTTATGTCCGTTCTATTGTTATGTAAACTATTGTAATACTTACTGAAATATGATGTAATCAATTAAAAATACAAAGCACATGGCAAATTGAAAAGAAAAATATTAAACTTTGAAGAGTAGTTCAGTAGGTTTTATTTTCTTTTTTTTTTTTTTCATGACTAAAAAAACAATTTTTATTTCACTCTTATATATCCGTTTCCGAAACCTATACTGACCGGGCACCTATTCTGTTTCTCTTCTTTTATTTATATATTTTATTTTTTAAAAATCTGGTAAAACTTAATCAGATTTTTTTAAATTTTAATAAATACATTAACTTATTGTATTATTCATTTCAATTCTTAGTTTTAAAACTTTTGTTTTATATATATATATTTTTTACTTATAGCCATCTATCCAAACAACATAACAGTTTTGTGAAAACTTTATTGTAAAATATTTTGTAAAATTATAAAAGTTTAACGCATCTTTTTGTGCTAGTAATGGATTAGTAGCTTTGGTTTAATTAATACTTATTAGACTTGAGAAATTTTAGTTCCATCTTCTTTCTTACAATTCATTTGTTTAAATTCTTATAACAAGTCAGGCCATGATGAGTATAAGCCTTACAAAGGATAATGGATGATTTGTGCAGAAGCTCTTTTGTTGTAGACTGATTAATGCCCCAACAAGGAAGGTCTTAGAGAATTTTTCTTCTCCGCCGTAGGGGATTTAGTGCGAATTGTTAAAAAGATATGCTTCACTGTTGAATTTATGATAAAATGAATAAAATACAACTGATTTCTCTCTATTTAACTGATCTATGTCTAGTTTTATATATATGTATATATTACTTTAATTTAAATCATTTATGGTGTTTTTTTTAAGGATATTTGAACTTGAAAAAAAAGTAAAAAGATTGGTTTCAAATGGAGCGCAACGAATATAAATTTTTTTTCTTTCATAAATTTCTATTCAATCTTGCCGTTAATAAGCCTCTCATGTAGTCTTTAAATAATTTTAATCTGGGACTGAAGTCCCCTAGAATGACGTCATTATAAAAGGGTCTATTAAGTATAAGTAACGATTCTTTCAATATGAGATCCTGTATTTTAAAAATTATATTAAAATTGTTTTTAGGTTTTTTCATGCATAGTTTACTGATTTCCCCTTGGTAGTTACTAATTACTGTTAAATTAAAAATATCGGTTATTCCCAAACTAAATATTGAAGGTTTGAAATTCAAAATGGTATATTTAAATTTATTTTTAAAAAATTAAAAACAAAATTGACAACTAAAGATACCTGCATACTGCTAACAAGGATGTTCTTTATTTCATATTCTTTGCAATGAGCTATGAATAAAAATTGTATCTCAAGGGAACAAAGAGAAAATTTTCTTAAAATGCCCCAAAATTTTGAACTTTTTTAAGCGATAAAATGCTCAACCTTAAATCACCCTGTTTAATTAAAAAATACTAAAATATACTTGCTAGTATTCGTTATTTTTTTATTGTTAAATTAATATTATTGTTAACTTCCGATTTCATTTTTAATTTATTCTTTCCTTGTTAAAATAAAAATTAATTATTATATGCTAGTCCTATTCTAAAAATTTGAAAAAAAAAATTTTTAATTTTTTAAAACATTTTTTTTCTGATTCTAGTTTTATAATTCTTCTACATTTTAATTCAACTTCTATATTTTTATTTATTTCAATCCGTGATGGGTTTTATATTAATCTTGAATTTCCAATTATGCTTGTAAGTTATTTTTTATAAACTTTAAGCACACTGAACCCCCTAAAAAAGCTAGCATAAAAGGGTTGGTGTGGCGAAAATTTTGCGGTTGAGTGTGTGTTGACTACATCACCTACTATTAGACTAACGAGGTCAAGAAACAATACTTCCTTGTCGAGTTCCATTCATGGCTGATAATGGTTTAGATCTGGGGTTTTCAAACTTTTGTCCCGCGGGTCACATTGAGACTTCTCTTAAGTCCCATGGCCATATTGACATCTCCAATAAGTCCCGCGGGCCACGACTGGTGACGAAATATAAATTAAAAAGTTGTAGAAATGACACTCTAGTTGTGAAATGAGCTTTCTAAGAGAAATAACTAATGTAATAAAAGTTCCAGTAACCTTATTTTTGAGTGATTTATTGAATTACATATTTTAAAAATATTTTTTTTAGCCGTAAACCAATGACTTCCTGTCCTTCAGTATCCTTTAACAACACCTCACTTATTCCTGTTGAACAAATCCGTTACCTAGGACTCCACCTGAATAAATGTCTAACTTGGATTCCTCATATCAGACAGAAACGACAAGAATTCGCTCGAAGTTTCCGACTACTTCAGCACTTACTAGACAAACGCTCTAACCTTCCAATTAATTACAAAAGACTCATATACATGACTATAATAAGGCCTATTTGGACTTACGGAGTTGAGCTATGGGGCTTCACCAAACCTTCAAATTCCTCTCGTATCCAATCCGTAAAATCCTCAATGCTCCTTACTTTGTTACAAATAAAATCATCCACTACGACCTTAATGTTCCTTATGTATCAGATTTGGCCCAATCCAGATATCTATCCTTTCATAATAAACTTCATAACCATCCCAACTCCCTTGTTTCTAACCTTGCTTCTTATTTAGTTTCTGATAACCCTCCGAGGCGTCTGAAAAGAAGATGGCCCCGTGATCTCCTAATATAGAAACATTATTAGAGCGCTGCCAATGGGTAGTTTCTCAACAAGTGTTTCATGTCATTATATCCATGTACGAATTTACTAGATGTATTTTTTTACACAGTGGTAAATATCATATGAATAATAATTAAAAAAAAAATATATTTTTTTTAATTTTACAGTGTAGTCAAATAAACATTCGCTGGACATAGTTTGGAGCGGTCTCCATTGGTGTTTAAATTATAACTCCAGAACATTATAAGTTTTTTTTAAATGCATTTCTTTTTTCTTTGTAAATATTCGAGATAGTGAAAGATTAACATAGTTGACATTTTAGTATCTAGGGATCGAACTGCTTTCACATTGATTGACATTTTCTCCTACCATGCTAGATTACGATCTAAATTATGTTCTCGTCAAATTTCGGTTAGATGGGATCCTCCAGACCTGGCCTCAGATTGGATTATGCAAATGCAGGCGATGGTCCCCAATACCGCTACAATGGAGGCGGCCATATAATGGAGCGGAATGGGCGTGGTTTGGGCTATTCTTGCACGGGCCCCAATCACCTGGGGGTCAAGGTTGCTAACGGGACGGCTCATTGTGATCTTGGGGCGCTCTGGAGGAAAGGTTATTCTGGGCTAGGAGAGAGCGAGCCAGAAAAAAACAGTCTACGAGTCTCTGAGAGAAAACATTTTTCTCTTTTTTTTTCGTTTAATGGCTCAATGGATTACGGGAAACCTTCCTCTCTAAGATATTCAAAACCCATCCTAAGCCTGGAAGGATTCAAAATGAACAACATAGTTTATCGTAATCTTTTCCATGACGCATTGATGAAAGCTGGGAGAGAACTAGGTCTACAAGTAAATAGTAAAAACAAATGATATGATTACCTGCTGAGAGGATAACGATTGCGGTGGTATATATATAGGAAGAAGGTATTTAAGATAAAACGAAATTAACCAGGAAATAAAAGCAAGGTTAAAGGATGGAAGTGGTTGTTATTATTTGAAAAATTATTTACACAACGGCAAATTGCATGAATTATTATTTTTCGATTACCTCAAATCTAGACATTTCTGGCATGAGGGATTTCTTGAGGTACGTCTAAACCTATTCTAACCGGAGTGGCAAGGTCCGTCCCGTAGTACATTTCAACCCGTTAAGGTTTGGGCTTGAACACTCTCGACCATCATGCTCTCAAAATTTTGTGATTGAACCAGGAATAATTTAATTTTAGTAAAAAATGAGAATAATAATAAAATAGACTTTCTCATTTCTAATATGCATAGAACGAACTTGTATTTATTTCTGAGAGGATTGCGTTAATATTGATCTGGCGGTTTTGAGTTTCGGCCGCGACCATTGGATTCCAGTATGCAGAATGCGATTGGTAGCATCTTCATCAAACTTTCGGTTCCTTAAACTTTTTATTATTATTTATTCTTTATCACTTTAAAAAAAGGTTTTTCCTGGAGTGGAGAAAGATTAATTTCAACCACTTCATGTCAATTTTTGTAGTTTTATTCGATATTTAGGAAGCTCCTTACAATTCTCGTAGTGTTCAGCAGCACAGCTTTCTGGGCTTCATTTATCGTAGCTGTTGAGAGGTCCAACTTCTCGGTAGCTTCTACAGTGGATTTTGGAATCAGCCCATTGCTAGAGATCACTAAAGCCCTTACTGTCACTTTGTTCAGTCTGTACAGATCTTTTAACACGGCTGCAAGAATTTGCTATTTCATTCGGCGCAGACTGAGTTGGTGTTCCCAACATTTGGTACAGCGATATCTATTATCTCAGCTGTCTTCATAGTACTATCGATCAACACGATATCAGGTCTGTTATTATTATTAAATTGTAAAAAATAAATAAAGCATTTTTTATTTTTAGACCCGTATTACAAAAATAATATGAGTTCTACTAATATAAAAATATTTATATTGATAACAGATACGTAGTTAAGAAGTGATTCCTATTATCTGCAAATATATATTCCTTGAGGATAAAAAACTTTGCTTTTTTTTTTCAGTACTTTTCACTACTCCTAAAAGGCACATCAAAATACAGTAATGTTCATATTATGTAGTTCTGAACTTTTAGGAAATATCATGTATATATATATATATATATATATATATATATATATATTTCATCTGACATTTCGGAGTGTTCCTCTATCTACAGGGTTCTTTCTAGAATCAATATTTTCATTAAATTTTTTTTCATGATCCTACAATACATAAATAATGTTTTATCATATATTACTTGTTAGTTTTCAAGTGTATATCGTTCTTGGAGGGACTCATTTTCTGCAGTTTTTTTTGTTTGTTTTATAGTTCGACGACTGTACATTGCAATGCATTGCAGTGTGCCCATATGAGGGTGGATGATGAGCCAGTTACAGGCCATACATATGGATGAGCCAATCTCATTTTTGGATGCAATCTCTAGTGATCAGGGTAGATTCCCTCCATTTTGTTTCTTTTTTTTCCTACTAGTCAATTTTAAAAAAAGATATATTAATTCGTGCTATAAACAGTTTTTTATACTATAATACAGTAGTTGAGCCAGTTTTTACAAACAAAATTGTTTAGTGATTTACATATTTTGCTAATTTTTCGAAATTATTATGTCTTTATTCATGAAATTTCAATATTTAACAAGAGTGATAAAGGACTAAGAATTGATAAAAGGTGTGATAAAGAACTAGACGAAAAAATCCCCAGTGGCAAAACTGTTATTAGCAATGTAGAAATTGAAAATATATTTAGAAATATGAACTAAATTCATTAAAGTTACATCGAAAATAGCGGAGTTTTAACTTTGTGAATAAGGGGTACGAATAATATTAAATTTTCTTATGAATCTTATAATTATTAAAAAAATATATATATGTTTCAATCTCTTTTATTTCATAATTTTAACTGAATCTAAGTTAAGATTTAAATTTATTTTAAGTTGTGGGGAGGGGAGAGGAAGAGAGTAGCCTTTAGTAGCTGGATAGGAAATAAATAGCTCGTAACACAAAAATCATTTTTTTAGTAAGTCTTTTGAAACTAATTAGGATAATGAAACTAAATGGCATTATTGTTTCGTAAAATTAGTAATTGTTGAACCTATAGTATTTAAAAAAAATCAAATAACCTGTACTTCTACATCCCACGGAGTGTCTTAGCATTACTGCTTTGTAAGAAGAGCCAATAACAGTACAAGGAGGTGTTTTGATCGAGATCCCCCATGTTTTACCCTAGATTAATTATTGAATTAAGGATACTATAAAGAGGCTGGTAATGCCTCAGGACGATCTCTTGACCCTAGGATAAATCTATGGCCGAATTAATTAATATTAGTTAACTTTCACAGTCAGACTCGAACCCGGGATCCTGAGCATAGGAGTACAGTGAGTCACTCCGCTGAGTACTTTATTAGTTATAGTTTTGTAATTATATTTCCAAGTTCTTAAAATTATTCATTTCTTTTAGGCCACTTTATAAGGCAGTTATTTAATAAAAATTTTCGGATTACGTGTTAACAAAAAGTTTGCTTATAGAACCCAAAAAAAGTAGTAATTTACTGGATTTTAATCTTCGGCCTTCGTACTGTTGATATTTGTTGTCATAGGACTGATTTCATTCATAGGCTGAAAAAAAATTATACTTAATTTGTTTACATCGCAATAAATCATAGATATGGTCTACCGAATAATTTGTCCAAAATAATTGACCGGTTTCCTTCATCCATTTTTCAGTAATCGAAAAGTTCGACCTTGAAAGGAGTGAGTTTCTAGTATCGATTCTTACGCAACCCCCTTCCCACACAATCCGCTCGACCATTCCTCATGCGGACGTGTATCAGATTATATTCGCCCGATAACCGAAACAGCCGATCTGCAAGTGTTATTGAACTTATAATTGCTGAATTATGTTTACCCTCCGCGATATAGATCGCGTTTCGAAATCGAATCGCGAATCATATGAGACCCCCCAAGGCTACCTACCCACGAGTTACGCCTAAATCTCCCCCTCGCCTGTGTACTCTCACCGGGAGAGCGCGCAAAGGTCTCGAGTGACAACTCAGATTAACTGCCGCACATTACCATCAAGTGGCATAGAGTGGCGTAAGTGATAGTCGCAACTGACATTTAATTCGCGTTATGGCACCTATTAACTTTTAACGTTCCTGTTTTTATTTATCTTCTTGCTACTACAGTTATAGCATTGCGTTCTATTGAATTAGAGGCTTCATGTTGGCCACATTGGGAATATTGGTACGTTGGTTTGATAAAAAAAAAAAAAAAATCATCGCAGTAAATACATTAAAAGAACACAAACCCATTAATATATCAAATGAAGTTTCAATAAATGCTCAGAGTTCTTATTTCACAGAGAGAAAAGTCATCAAAATACTCAGTTACTTAATTTTATGAAATGTTACTTGATGACTAAAAAAAACCGATGATATTAAGTTATTAATTAATAAAAACCTATCTTACTAAATACTTACACTGTACCTTTATTGGAACAACTTGGCACGTTTTTTATGCTTAAAAATCTATGCAAATATCCAGAGTTACCAATGGTTAGAAATAACAAATGTAATCAAGAACAATAATAAATAGAATCAACAGGAAATGAATTATAAATATAATAATAGAAACAATGAAGGATTAGAAAGTAATACAACATTATTTTAATTCCATCATATTTTTTCTTTTTTTCAAATAGATCTTCATAGCAGCTAAAGGAGAGAAGGACGTTATCAAATGAGTTAATATTGTAGGAATTAAAATGGTAACATCATTACAATTAGTGCAAAAACATGTAACAATTTTACATATAAATTCTTTTTGCGGTAAAGGTGAAATTTTGTAGTCTCCAACTGCTATAAATAGTCTGCTAAATAGGAAAATAAAATATGAAATTATACTAAAAAACATTTTTATAAAAATTGTTTTTATGCTCTTCTGTAAAAAAAACTCAATTTTTACATACGACATTTTGCAAAAATAATGATAACTCACAAATTTAAGACTCTTCTTATTCAAACACATTAGTCACAAACATGGCCTTATTAATTAATATCTTTGTCTGCTTAAGAGTCAATAAATCGATACTGAGAGATTTTTAGCTAAGAAATAAAAGTTTTACTTTTTATCCATATCTAAAGAATATGGATATTGACTGAGCTTTAGACGCAATAAGTTGTGTCAAAAGAATTCAGAATCAAACAGTAAGTATACAATGCAGCATATCAAACCATGCAATACCATATACTCACTCTGGTTTCTGAAGTCACATACTACAATATACCGTTCTATGCTGTAATAATTAAGTTAATTCGTTAATGAATAACTCCCTAAATAATCGTATTTCTAACCTTTTTCTAATTTTTTGTATGTTTGTTTAAATTATAATTGACCATACTTCAACTTAATGTAAAGCATAAGATTCTTACATCTAGAACTTGATATCTGTTCTTTTAGAGTTTTGAATTACTGGTCGGACACTAGAGTTGTTTTATTGTTCAGATAAGACAACGAATCTTAGCCGTAGCTGGATTCGGCTACGTTTACGACCGTCTTAGATAAGCTGAATGTCACGCTTGGACAAGGATAATCACAGAACTTTACCGGTCCGCTTTAGCTCATGAGATCTTACTTGGTCTGATAGCTAACCAAACGATGTTAAGGAAGTTTTTTTATAATATTTTATTCTAATTCTAATTTATTTTGGTTACTTGATTTTATTTTTCAT